TTCTGTTTAGTAACCAATGCTTCCACTCTTGGGCACCTATGCCAGCTTTTCTGCATCTTTCAACCTTTTCTAAAAGATGCTGTGACTTGATTAAATGCAGCTTCCAAACGCAGACAAGATGTTAATATCTGCTCTCTCACTTTCATTTAATAAAGTTATTTTATTAGGGTTGTCTGGTCAGGGATGGGGGCAGTTTGGGTTGATTTGACATGTTTCATTATTTAGAAATCTTAAGAATCTCTCAGAGAGCAGAACTCCTTCAACTGGGAGATGGCATCATAAGTGCAGATTCTTTGTTGGTTTTGAGCCAAAGGATGGAGAAAGAAGGAGAGGACATACATGGGGAGGCAGGGTACAACATACCGTGAAACTTGCGACAGTGGGAGGACATTAGTGATGGAGATGTACTATCTCCCAAGGGTTGTTGAAACCATCTGGTCTTGAATATAATCAAGAGAGAACAGATCTAAGACTTTGCATTACCAACCTGTTAAGTATAGTAAATCAAACCAGTAAGTGAAATTGGAAAACCGCTTAACCAAGTCCACAGATCTTATGGTTGACTTTTGAAAATATATGCTCTTTACCAAGAAATGAAAAATAATACTTTTCCCTACTAACATAGTGCCTATGTGTAGTATGTTATCAGTGTACTAGGGTTCTATAATTCTCACGGACCACTTACTACTACTCCTGTGTCATGGACAAATTAGTCTTATAGGGGGTCAGTTTCTTTTTTTTCAATTTTTATGTGGTCTATTTTTAAAGTCTTTATTAAATTTGTTGCAATATTACTTCTGCTTTATGTTTTGGTTTTTTGGCCATGACTCATGTGGAATCTTAGCTCCCTGACCAAGGATTGAACCCATACCCCCTGCATTGGAAAGCGAAGCCTTAACCACTGGGCTGCCAGGGAAGTCCTGAATGTGTTTCTTTATCTGTCAAACCAGTGTTTGGGTTTCCATGAAGGTCAAATAAGATATATGATCTTGAAGCTACATCTGCAAACTCCAGAGTGCTATACATAAGTTATATTTTCTATTACTACTTTATTTTTGGCCCCCAAATAACAGAACCCACCATTATGCTGAATTATCTAGTTTAATTCTTCAATTTATAGATTACCTGGGCCCCTTGTTTTCTTTTCATTGCTTTCCTGCTGTTTAGTCTTTTGAAAGTGTCTTAGAACCATTGTGAAATACAGGAAAGAGTAGTTAGGAATTTTTACTTTTTTCTTTTATTTTAAGTGTTTACAGATACTTAATGGGGAGTCAGTTGAAAATAGCCCTATTAATAGAGAGTTTGTAAAGTGGCACATCACATTTTAAAGGTGCTAAGCCCTTCCAAGGAAATTGCCTGTCATCTGGTTTCAAAACAACCCTGGCAGACTCCTGGTAGATGCTGACACTTTTAATTTTTCCAGAGAGCTATTAAAATTGTAGAACTTTTGGAACTATATTCCCATATCTCCTTGATGGGCCAAATGATTGAATAGAACATGTGATAAGAATCTTTCCTCTGTGATGAAGCACCATGAAAAATCCTGAGTTGGCAACGTGCAAATTTATTGCAGATCAAGTATCTGAGTTTCTCATTGTCTAAACTATCTGTAAAGAGTTCTCTTGAACTAGGAAGGTCTCTTTGTACCTGCAAATAAAATACCGTGTCTGTCCTGTTATTTCTCCAATAAAGAGTGCATTTCCTCTTAGTCTGGGGCTTCCCCAGTGGCAGTAAAGAATCTGCCTGCAGTGCAGTGCAGGAGACATGGGAGATGTGGGTTCGATCACTGGTTCAGGAAGATCCCCTAGAGAAGGAAATGGCAACCCACTCCAGTATTTTTGCCTGGAGAATTCCATGTAGACAGGAGCCTGGCAGGCTACAGTACATGGGGTTATGAAAGAGTCGGACACAACTTGGCAACTAAACAACAAAAAGTTCTTGGAGGATAAATTTCATTAACCGTGGTTTGATACTGGGTTAGTTAAGAGGCAAAGTCGGTTAGGCTTCAAGTAGCTTTGCTTTCAGGGTTTTTCAAATTCCTAGGCTCACTGGAGGAAGATGGCTTGTTTGGGGGAGAAATGAGCTGTGTGATAATATGCTGCTACGTCCCAATTCAGCACTACTCGGGCAGTAAGTGGCTGGTGGCCATCCACTGTCAGGACGCTCTATGGAAATCAATGGATTTCAGTTGTATATCAGGATTTTAACTAAGGTCTGGCATCTGGTTAGCCAGAGTGAAGTAACTGAGATGCCAGCCTCTTTCTTCTGTTTATTTTCCTTCAAGAGAGCTTGGATGTGATCAGGTGGATGCCAGTGAATCTATTACAGTGCTGACAAACACTAATCAGAGATACGTTCCTGATTTTAAATTTAAATTCACTATGTGCTATCAACTTCTCTAACATTGTGTGCTTTTGATAGTCTCATTTGCATGATTTTATAAATATGCATTTCTGGCTACAGTTTTATTATCTGAGTGTTCTTTTATTTAACGTATGCTTTTAGAGGAGGTTTTTTACCTTAAGAGTGCGAAAAGATGATCAATTTATTTGTGGTTGGGCTCTATGTCATCTTTATCATCAGAGTAGTGTAGTATAGAGGTTAGGATTGACGGAATCAAAATGCCTGGATTCAGATCCTACTTCCTCCCCCCATTTGTGCTAAGTGTGTGTAATTTAACTGTATAGATTTTAACCCTATAAGCCTTAGCCTTGCCTTTTAAAATTTATTTATTAATCACTGGTTCAGGAAGATCCCCTAGAGAAGGAAATGGCAACCCACTCCAGTATTTTTGCCTGGAGAATTCCATGTAGACAGGAGCCTGGCAGGCTACAGTACATGGGGTTATGAAAGAGTCGGACACAACTTGGCAACTAAACAACAAAAAGTTCTTGGAGGATAAATTTCATTAACCGTGGTTTGATACTGGGTTAGTTAAGAGGCAAAGTCGGTTAGGCTTCAAGTAGCTTTGCTTTCAGGGTTTTTCAAATTCCTAGGCTCACTGGAGGAAGATGGCTTGTTTGGGGGAGAAATGAGCTGTGTGATAATATGCTGCTACGTCCCAGTCCAGCACTACTCGGGCAGTAAGTGGCTGGTGGCCATCCACTGTCAGGACGCTCTATGGAAATCAATGGATTTCAGTTGTATATCAGGATTTTAACTAAGGTCTGGCATCTGGTTAGCCAGAGTGAAGTAACTGAGATGCCAGCCTCTTTCTTCTGTTTATTTTCCTTCAAGAGAGCTTGGATGTGATCAGGTGGATGCCAGTGAATCTATTACAGTGCTGACAAACACTAATCAGAGATACGTTCCTGATTTTAAATTTAAATTCACTATGTGCTATCAACTTCTCTAACATTGTGTGCTTTTGATAGTCTCATTTGCATGATTTTATAAATATGCATTTCTGGCTACAGTTTTATTATCTGAGTGTTCTTTTATTTAACGTATGCTTTTAGAGGAGGTTTTTTACCTTAAGAGTGCGAAAAGATGATCAATTTATTTGTGGTTGGGCTCTATGTCATCTTTATCATCAGAGTAGTGTAGTATAGAGGTTAGGATTGACGGAATCAAAATGCCTGGATTCAGATCCTACTTCCTCCCCCCATTTGTGCTAAGTGTGTGTAATTTAACTGTATAGATTTTAACCCTATAAGCCTTAGCCTTGCCTTTTAAAATTTATTTATTTATTGAAATATAGTTGATTTATAATGTTGTGTTAGTTTCAGGGGTTCAACAAAGTAATTTAGTCATATATATATACATACATATATACATATATATATGTATGTATATTCCTTTTCATGTTCTTTTCCCTTCTAGGTTATTATAAAATATTAAGTATAGTTCCCTGTGTTATACAGTAGGTCCTTGATGTTTATGTATTTTTTATATATATTGGGTTGGCCAAAAGGTTCACTCGGGTTTTTCCATAAGATGTTAGGGAAAACCTGAATGAATCTTTTGGCTAACCCAATGGTAGTGTGTATTTGTTAATCCTAAACTCCTAATGTATCCCTCCCCCTACTTCTCCTTTGGTAACCTGTAAGCTTTCTATGTCTGTGGATCTATTTCTGTTTCATAAATAAGTTCATTTGTATATTTTTTCTGAAGAGTCTGCATAGAAGCAACATCATGTGCTATTTGTCTTTCTCTGTCTGGTTTACTTCACTTAGTATGATCATTTCTAGGTCCATCCATTTTGCTACAAATGGCATTGTTTCATTCTTTTCTATGGCTGAGTAACGTTCCTCTGTATGTATGTACCACATCTTTCTTCTTTCATTTGTCGGTGGACATTTATATTGCTACCATGCTTTGGATGTAGTTAATATCACTGCAGTGAACATTGGAATGCATGCATCCTTCCGAATTATAGTTTTCTTTAAATATATGCCCAAGACTCTTCCTTTAATGGAGATAATAATAGCATTTTCTAGATAGGGTTTTTGAGAAGATTCCATTAAAATGGCATATATATCAGCCAGCTTTTGCTAGGTTATGCTCCAATAACAAATTAACCTAAAATATCAATAGCTTACAGCAGCAGAGATCTCTTTTTCATTCATGCTCATGTCCATCATCAGTTGGCTCTGCCTCTGCTCCATATTCTCTTCATTCTGAGACACACCTGAAGAAGCAGCTTCCACTGGTCTCAAGACAGAGGCAAGACTCATTGTGGTTTTAATGGCTTCTGCTTGGAAGCAGCACTTCCAAGCACTTCTGTTCATATGTAATTGGCCAAACGAAGTCGTGAGGCCAAGCCTAGTAGCAGTGAGTGGGTACAATCATTTACCACAGGCTGCAATGCACATTGACAGGAGCGTAGTAAAGGCTCAGTAAAGAGGAGATTTTAGTTTTCAATCCAGAGTCACTGTAGAAGTGAAAGGCAAAGGTAAGTGATAGTTTAGCTAGGACAGAGAGACTAATACTTGGGTGTTTGGCAGTCAGCTCTCTTAAGAGCGAATGGAGGTACTGATCACTTCCTTTGAACTTTCCAGGGAAGGTGGTCTACGGAGAACCCATCGCAGCAGGTCTCGGCACGGATGGCACCCACCACTGGGATAGAGAATGGCTCCATGCTGCCCACCATGTTATGGGTCCACCCCTGCGACCGGACCCTTCGACGCCTGACTTCCTCATGAATCTGTTGGCTAAGTAATCAATTAGCAGATGATTGTTACGTGTTTTGCAAAATTAAGATGTTTTTCAAGTCTCAAAACATGCAGGATTTGAGTGTAGGAGATCGTGTGATATCATCTGGACCTTCCATTGAACTCCCAGTCCTCTGTTCTACTTGACCTCACAGGCCCTGGGGAGTTCTGCATCTGGGGACCAAAAGGCATTGGCTTAATCACATTATTATGTGGTGTCAAAATCTCTCCTGACCACCGTGAAATCAGATCATTTTTCCTGACGTTTTCCTCTCTTTGGTTTTTTGTTGTTGCTGTCTTTTCTATCTCTTGTTGCTTAGGGCCAGGTCACATCCGTATGCCTAATTTTTATCAGACAGAATATTCTTGAACATTTTCCATGCTGATATAACCCAGGATCCAGATATGCCTGTGGTAGGGATACAAAAGATGATGATCTAGGGAAGAGCCACAGGTAAAAGGCAAAACCCTGCCCTCAGAGCAGGTTATCCCCATGAAAGGCCATTCAGACCATTGATGTATGTTTTTTGGCGGGGGTCTAGGGGGGACATTATGATCATTTTTGTTGAAGAATATACCATTCGTGGACATTCTGGCATTCCTCATTCACAGATACTCAGATCCAAGTTAACGAAGAGCTTTTCACAACAGACTGGACAAGAGCTCACTTGCCACTTCCTTCCAGCCTTGAAAAGCTGCTCATTCTCCATTGCGGTTTTCTGACTTTCAGTTGAGAATGGGGTCAGGAGACCAGGGAAAGGTATGGTAGTTTCCTCCTGACATTTTCTGTCTTCTCACCCACCTCTGCCCTCATGTGTGTCTCTTTTACAGCGATGACCTAACCACAACAGGGTCTGACAACTGTACTTTCAACAGCTGCCAGAAAGCTCTTGGGAAGGATGATTTTACCAAGATTCCCAATGGAGTGAATGGTGTTGAGGACCGGATGTCGATAATATGGGAAAAAGGCGTGGTGAGTGTCACAGAATTCAGTTTGTTTTGCTGAATTCTTCAACGGGATCTGGTCTATTTTAGGACCAAAGTTCCAGAAGCCTTCATGAGAAGCTTCTTGATTATTTTCACTAAAGTGGCCACTGAGAATACTACCGCATCACCAACACCATGCCATCTCCCAAGATAAGAAGGAAAAACACTTTTCTTCTCTACATGATTTAGAGGATGCTTTGTGCCAGAGTATAAATTTAGATTGGGTACCAAGAGGATTATTCTTGAAGTCTTTGAAATGTAATAGCCCTTCTATCTGATTTCCATGTTTGTGAATCCAAGTTCTTCATGTGTCACTGATATAAACACTTGGAATGATTGAAAAGACATGAAGGTTTTTTTTTTTTTTTTAATTACATTTGTACCTCTTTTTCATATAAAAATGTAGATGTCCCTTTTAAAGAAGTTTTGAATATTATGGTTTAAAAGCTACTGTATGAGGTCAGATAAATCATAAATCCAAAGCACAGAGATTTCTTTTAATTTCACAGTTTAAAAGTTTCTACCTGAAGATGAAGAATAATCACATGGCTAAATGTTCACACACAAGCCTATCCAGGCAGCTGACGAGTGTAGTTGTAAAGATCAGCAGTGAAGACTTGCTCAGTAGGACCTGAGGTCCCTGTTGTCATGTCATTCCCATCCATCATTCAGAATCCCTCCCTTCAGTGATGTAGTAATCACATGTCTGAACTTCCTTGGTGATCTAGTTGTTAAGACTCCAAGCTTCTGATATAGGGGGTATGGGTTCAATCCCTGGTCAGGGAACTGAGATTCCACGTGCAGTATGACACAGCCAAAAAAAATTTTTAAAGAAAAAAAGAAAAGGAATAATCACATCTACACCCAGAATCCCTTGCACATACCACTCACTGCCAGCTCTAATTTTTTTTTTTAAAACCAGGTCTTGTCAATTTTATTTTCGAATGCCTCCTTATTTCCACCTTCATCTCTACCATTCTACTTGGAGTCCCATGTCTTGTTTGGACCATGATGGTAGTCTCACAGCTGGTGTCCCTGTCTCTACTCTCTGGCTTGCTACAATCTATCCTATACTCTAGGACCGCCATTGCATTTCAAACACCAGGGTATACTCATGCTACTTTCTTCCCTAAAACCCTTTCATTTTCTGCATTACTTCTTGGATGATATTTGAACAATTCATTCACATGTAAGGATCTTCAAAACATCTCTATGGCCCTATCTTCTGCCATTCGTCCTCTCCACCCCCTTTTACCTCTACCTTAACTCTAATCATCCCAGACGGCTTTCCTTCTCTGTCTCCTTGTTTAGACTTTCTTGATAACAGCAGTCCAACCTTTCACTTTGAAATTGTGTTAACTACAATGAGTAACTTCATTACAGCAGATTTTCATAATATATAAAGTGTATCAGTTAGTTAGTTCAGTCACTTAGTTGTGTCCAACTCTTTGTAACCCCATGAACCGCAGCACACCAGGCCTCCCTGTCCATCACCAACTCCCGGAGTTTACCCAAACTCATGTCCATTGAGTCAGTGATGCCATCCAACCATCTCATCCTCTGTTGTCCCCTTTTCCTCTTGCCTTCAATCTTTCCTAGCATCAGGGTCTTTTCCAGTGAGTCAGCTCTTCGCATCAGGTGGCCAAAGTATTGGAGTTTCAGCTTCAGCATCAGTCCTTCCAATGAACACCCAGGACTAATCTCCTTTAGGATGGACTGGTTGGATCTCCTTGCAGTCCAAGGGACTCTCAAGAGTCTTCCAACACCACAGTTCAAAAGCATAAATTCTTCTGCACTCAGGCTTCTTTACAGTCCAACTCTCACATCCATACATGACCAATGGAAAAACTGTAGCTTTGACTAGACAGACCTTTGCTGGCAAAGTAATGTCTCTGCTTTTTAATATGCTGTCTAGGTTGGTCATAACTTTCCTTCCAAGGAGTAGTTCTTTTAATTTCATGGCTGCAATTACCATCTTCAGTGATTTTGGAGCCAAAAAAAATACAGTCAGCCACTGTTTCCACTGTTTCCCCATCTATTTGCCATGAAGTGATGGGATCAGATGCCATGATCTTAAAGTGTATAAGTGGATCTAAAGTGATCGGAGATTTCTTCATAACATACAGGAATCTATATTATTTTCTGAAATTTTAGGATGATTTATTTATGGGAATGTTAGTTTCAGGATGTGGTTCCTAAAGTTTTTTTTGAGGCAGAGAACCTTTGATAATTAAATAGAACTTAAGGATGCTCTTGCCATGTAAGTGTGTATAGGAATAAACTCTCAACGTTTTAAAAAAGTCATTTTAGAGGGATCACATCCCACTGAAGTTTGTCCATATTAAAGTCTCTTGCAGCAGACTGTCCATGACTGTTGGTTCATGTAGATTTTAGTAGTGCAAAAACTGAACCTCTCTGCTGATTTTTCTTCTTTTTTAAAAGTGTTGTCACCAGACTTATAGGCCTATCTTATTTTAATTCTATAGTATTCTATATAATATCTACATGATTGTCCTATAAATCTTATCTATAAATCTTAGGTCTGCAATAAATAATCCAGATCATAAATGTAGTAGGTGGTGGAAGTAAAAAAATTGAAAGTACTGTTACCAACATTTAGCTCTTTTCTCTGTGATTCTGGGAAGAATGGGAAAAATTTGTGCAGGTGTTTTGTTAAGCTGATAGGTTTTTGAAAAGTTCCTTTCGGGTTTCCATATTTAACCTCATTCATCCCCATCATTGTCACTATGATTGTTTAAGATTTATCAGTACTCACAGATGTGTTTGGTCTCACAGTATACAAAATTAGGTGTGGTTCTATTTGGTTCTAAGAGATACAAGTCTCCTACTTTTATTGATAGGAGATTTTTAGTGTTTTATGATTCATCAGAAAAAGAAATGTATTTTCTTCCTTGAATTGTTTTACAGCACAGTGGCAAGATGGATGAAAACCGGTTTGTGGCAGTTACCAGCACAAATGCAGCTAAAATCTTTAACCTCTATCCAAGAAAAGGAAGAATAGCTGTGGGCTCAGATGCTGACATTGTGATTTGGGACCCAAAAGCCACAAGGTAAGCCTAAGGTATTGTATTACTTGGCTTCTCCATGGAGAAAAAGCACTAACTTGCAAAGAAATTATTCATTGGCCTTAATCAGCCATTTCTTCTTAGGTGATTTATTTAGGCAGGCTCAGGTATTATAATCTGAGCCTGTGTACAGGGTACAGATTTGACTGTACAAACATTCTTTTGTTCTCCTTGGCATAGAAGATGCAAAAGTTGTGTTGCTTACCTTCTGTGGAAATGCATATGTGTATAAAACCAATATGAATTTCCCAATTCAGGGCTTGGCAAGCGCCTGAGTTCACAGGGAGGAAAGGTACAGAGCAGTGAAGAAAAGGAAAGGCTTAGTTTAAAAAGGGTTGCATTGAAAACTCGAAATAATTATAGCCTTTTTCAAGCTTTCAGATAGAAAAATTCCAGCACAAAGGATGTCACTTTTAGTCAGCCAAATTTTCCAGCTGAGTTCATCTTGAGCCTGTCATTCCCAGTAGATGCCGGCTTTTAGTTTCCAATTTCCATAATTCTATGTTAGTATTGCAGGTTTGGCCAGTTCTACCAACTCAGAAAAGCATTCGGTAGAGGCTGAAGCTTTGTTAATTTCTCCTGATAGGATGTTGATGCAGACGACATCTGCATCCTGGTTGTGTTTTTCATAAACCCTGCAGCTGTTAATAGAGAAAACTCCACATACTTTCATATTGCATGTGTGTGTGCACAAGTGAGTGTGGATGCACATGTGTATGTGTAAATGGGGATAGGTAAGACCGTCTACTATTACCGAAGAGACATTTGTTTAAAGGTTTTATGTTGTGGTAAACAAAAGTCCATGCGAACAGACCCTGTTTTATTGGACTTCAGACAGCGTGTTTTTAACTAATTGAGGGATTGTGGCAGACCTGCCTGGAGCACGTCTGTTGGCTCCATTTTCCCAACAGTATTTGCTCAGTTAGTGTCTCTGCATCGTATTTTGGTAATTCCGGCAATATTTCAAACCTTTTCATTGTTATATGTCAGTTATGGTGATCAGTGATCTCTGATGTTACTGTTGTAATTGTTTGGGGCTAAACTGAGCCCATGTAAGGCGGTGAACTTGGCAGATGCTGTGTGAGCTCTCACTGCTCTACTGACGGCCATTCGCTTGTATCTCCCCCGCTTCTTGCACCTCCCATCCACTGTAACACAACAGCATTGAAATTAAGCCAGTTAATAACCCTACAGCAGCCTCCAAGTGTTCAAGGAAAGGGAACGGTGTCATGTCTCCCACTTTAAATCAGAAGCTCAAAATGATTAAGCTTAGTGAGGAAGGCACGCTGAAAGCTGAGATAGGCTGAAAGATAGGCCTCATGCATCAAACAGCTAGCCAAGTGGGGAATGCAAAGAAAAAGTTCCTGAAGGAAATTAAGAGTGCTCCTCCAGTGAACACATGAATGATGAGAAAGTGAAACAGCCTCGTTGCTGATATGAAGAAAGTTTTAGTGGTCTGGATAGACGATCAGACCAGCCATAACAGTCCCTTAAACCAAAGGCTAATCCAGAGCTTTACCTCTCTTCAATTCTGTGAAGTCTGAGAGATGTGAGGAAACCGCAGAAGAATATTCATAGTTTGAAGTTGGCAACGATTTGTTCATGAAGGTTCAGGAAAAAAGTGCAAGGTGAAGCAGCAAGTGCTGACGTAGAAACCACCGCAAGTTATCCAGAGAATCTTGCAAAAATATTTCATGAAGGTGGCTACACCCCACAACAGATTGTCAGTGTAAATGAAAATGCATTAAATATTTCTAATATCAGAAGAAGATACCGCCTAGGACTTTCATAGCCAGTGAGAAGTCAATGCCTGGCTTTAAAGCTACAAAGGACAGGCTGACTCTCTTATTAGGGGCTAATGCAGCTGGTGACTTTAAGTAGGAGCCAGTGCTCATTTACCATTCTGAAAATCCTAGGGCCCTTAAAAATTATGCTAAACCTAGTCTGCTTGTACTCTATAAATGGACGAACAAAGTCTGGATGACAGTACATCTGTTTGCTGAGTATTTTAAGTCCACTGATGAGACCTGCTTCACAGAAAAAAAAAAAAATTCCTTTTGAAATATGACTGCACCTGGTGACCCAAAACCTCTGATGGAGACTCATGTTGTTTTCATGCCTGCTAATCCAACATCCATTCTACAGCCCATTGGTCAGGAATAATTCCAACTTTCATGTCTTATTGTTTAAGCAATACATTTGGTGAGGCTACAGTTGCCCTAGATAGTGATTCCTCTGATGGATCCAGGAAGTCAGTTGAAAATCTTTTGGAAAGGATTTACCATTCTAGATGCTGTTAAGAACATTTGTGATTCATGGGAAGTGGTCAAAATATCAACATTCACAGGAGTTGAGAAGTTGATTCCAACCTTCATGGATGGCTTTGAGGGAGTCAAGACTTCAGAGGAGAAAGTAACTGTACATGTAGTGGGAATAGCAAGAGAACTAGAATTAGAAGCCTGAGGTTATGAATTAATTGCTGCAATCTCATGGATGGAAAGTAGTTTCTCATGAGTGAGCAAAGAGAGTGGTTTCTTAAGATGAAGTTACTATGAAGGTGTTGAAATGACAACAAAGGATTTAGAATATTCTGTAGGCTTAGTTGATAAAGCAGAGACTGGGTTTGAGAGGATTGACTCCAATTTTGAAAAAAGTTCTGCTGTAGGTAAAATGCCATCAAACAATATTGCATGCTGCAGACATTTTTTTCATGAAAGGAAGCGCCAATCATTGCAACAAACTTTATTGTTGCCTTATTTTAAGACAATTTCCAGACTTCTCTTGTGGTCCAGTGGTTAAGAATCTAACGCAGGGGACACAGGTTCCATACCTGGTCAGGGAAGATTCCACATGCTGTGGGGCAGCTAAGCCCATGCACCGCAGCTACTGAAGCCTGCACACCCCAGAGCCCATGCTCTGCAACAAGAGAAGCCACCACAACAAGAAGCTCACACTTGCCTAGAGAAAGCCCACGCGGAGCAGTGGAGATCCAACACAACCAAAAATAAATACACAATAATAAAAAGGAAACTGCCGCAGCTGCCACAGCCTTCAGCAACCACCATCCTGATCAGCCAGCAGCCATCAACATCCAAGCAAGACCCTCCATCAGCCAAAAGATTAGGACTTTGCTGATGGCTCAGATGATGGTTTGGAGAAGGCAATGGCACCCCACTCCAGTACTCTTGCCTGGAAAATCCCATGGGCAGAGGAGCCTGGTGGGCTGCAGCCCATGGGGTCGCGAAGAGTCGGACACGACTTCACTTTCACTTTCCCTTTTCACTTTCATGCATTGGAGAAGGAAATGGCAACCCACTCCAGTGTTCTTGCCTGGAGATCCCAGGGATGGGGGGAGCCTAGTGGGCTGCCGTCTATGGGGTCGCACAGAGTCGGACACGACTGAAGCGACTTAGCAGCAGCAGCAGCAGCAGATGATGGTTAGCCTTTTTTAGCAATAAAATAATTTTTCATTAAGGTATGCATAGTGTTTCTTTAGACATAATGCTATTGCACACTTAATAGACTACAATGCAATATTATCATGACTTTTATTTGCCCTGGGAAACCAAAAAATTCATGTGACTTGCTTCATTGTGATAATCGCTTTATTCCAGTACTCTGGAACCAAACCTGCCCTCTCTCCAAGGTATGCCTATATTCTTCCAGATTAATTATTCATGGAGTCTCCTCTTCAACCACCTATTTAACCCCATTTCTCACATTCTGCAGTTTTCACATTGGAAAAGATGAATAATGATAGTGCAAAAAATTCTGACTGTGGATTAGAGAAAATTCTTAAAGGGTTGGAGAAGTAAGATACAAGTCAAAGAAATCCAAAGAGAGCTAGATCATTTCAGTACATCCTGCCAAGTAAAGATAACATTTCTCTGTGTTTGAAAAGGACATTAAAATAAGAAAAGATTTTCTGTGTGTTTTTTTTAAGACTCTGAGAGTCAGAGAAATAGAACCCAATAGTTTATCTGCCTCCCTGGTCACCACAGGCAAAATAGCTGAGAACACGTAACAGTGAAAGAGTATTGCAAAGAATGACACCAGCCAAACTAGATATATGTAAAATAACCATAGTAATACATATCTTATTTTTATGTAACTTTCTAACACTTTCTTAGGTTCTAAAACATTTTTACATTTCTTATATGATTCTTAAAAAAAATCTGAAGTAGGCATAATAATTATTATTAATATCTCATTTACAGATGAGAGAGTGGACATTTAGAGACCTTAAATGATATGCCTGGCTTCTGCAGCTTAGCATTGATGAGCTAGGACCAGACTACACAGCAGGCTCTCAGGCTGTGCTGGGTTTCATTATGCTTAGCCCTTAGTTATATACAATAAGCAGACATCAGAGAGAAGACTCAGAACTAGTAATCAAAGGCCAGTATGTAACCTTTTCCCAAAATGCACGTATATAAAAATGTGAATATTTAATTTTCTGTTATCATTACTGTTATAAAGTGAAGGACAGGTATTATATAAGAAATACTAGAGAACTGATGAAAAAAAGTGGTAGAGAGAAACTTAAAAGCACAGAGGCTTTTTGGCTTGACCTTAAGTTAGTTATTTTAGGCTAGAAATTAGGGAAATTAAGCAAGTAATATATAGATCTTTAAAAAGAATAAGAACTTAACATTTGGATCATTACAGACTATTCTGAAACAAGTGAATAGGAAAGGAAGGACAAAGAATGTTACAGAGATCAGTAGCTAACACTGGTGAGAGAGTGGTCTAAATTTATATAGTCTAAAAACATGACTCAAAGAGACATAATCACAGCCTATAAATATCTTCCAAGCAACAATATATGTGTAAGTAAAGGAAGCGAATTATTCACAACCTTGAGTTCAGGTCGTTTTTCTTTGTCCAGTTGTCTAAGGAAGACAATGCTTTACACCTGAGCTGACGTTGTTCTCAGACATTGTAAGAACCGAGGAGACTCCTGAGGCTGATACCACGGGAGCTAT